TTATTAGCCTTTAGCATGTAGCATCTAGCGATAGGCTAACGGTAACAGCAGTGGTTGTGTTCATTTGTATTTTGTGTGTTATTTGTGTGCAATAAATAACAACATTGTAAACTTACCTTCGTGGTTGTTTATGTAGTTCGTTCATCTTAGGTAAATCCGGAAGCGATCGGGTAAAAACCGCTGCCATATTATCTGCTTCACTGATTGTCGAACGCTAACACACCGGAAGTAAAAGAGCTGGCTGAGATGTGTGCAGGCCGTTTTAGTCCAGAAGATGGCAGTATTGCAATAATAAGCGTAGCAGCTGCATTTAGACACGGACGAAGAAGAAGAAGCTCGTCCAAATAGTTTTCCGGGTTGATGGGAACGTTTGTTTGTGGCTGTTGAACTGTTGTTTAGGATGCTACTGGTTTTGTCTGAAGACCACAAAGAGCACCTCGCCTTCCTCTCGAAGGTCGACACCGCAGGTAAATAACCGGCTTTTATATGACAGAGGATCAGGACCATGACTGTAAGAGATCAGTTTCTTCTCCAGTGTTAACTGCTGACTGTCACCTGATTGTGAGTGTGAACACTGGATAGAAGTTTGGTTCAACTGCACTGGCAAGAATGTGCTATTGGTAAAATATTGAAGAGACCGTCTCAGTACATCAGTAACATAATGACTCAATCAGTCAGATGTGAGAACAGTGGTAAGAGAGGACTGTCTGTCTGAGGAAAGCCTCTATAGACAAACGCCTCTATTAGGTTTGTTCTGTGTACATTTTGTGAGTAAGACTGGAAAATGTCAAGTTAACTGAGCTCAGATCTACCACACTGCACTTCAATAACAATATCATTAATGGTAAATGTTTAAAGGACACATTCAGATTCGTTACCTAAGTAAAAGCAATACTAGCCTATAATCAAAAACGACTAAATTACAAGTAAAAGTACAGAAGCATAATAATCTTCTAAAATGCGAAAGTAGTAAAAGGAGGATATTAGGATTATTTGCTCATTTTAGATTTATAAGAAATGAAATTAGTACAGATGCAAAACTGTACATGCAGGCAATGATACGGTCACATTTTACATAGTGTTGTACAACCTGGTCAGAGACAAGTAGTACATTAATGACTTCACAGTCTGTATAAGCAAGCATTGAAAGTCATGGTGATTTAAATTGCATCATTATTGTAATATTGTTAAGACGTATAACCTGTTTTCAAAGTTGACATCTGTTTATGTTCAATGTTGGTTTAATATACGTCAACACAGATCATTCACAACTTAGCACCACAACCTCCTCAACAGTTTGCACCAACATGTAGGCCTGGACTCAAGGTTAAAAAGAGCTCCCTCCAGAGGGGACTGTTATGTTCAATTTCGGTCGACAACAAAACTGCGTCGGGCTCAGTTACATCCCACAGATCGTCTTCCAGATGACTTTTTTTATTTCATGTAATAAGGATGGACTCCATGCATGCATGTAACTCCATGTGTTTTTTGTCCTTAGTGGTTGGAGAGTTTGGTCGCATAGCGCTGGAATTCCTAAGGAGAGGAACCAGTCCCAAGATCTACGAAGGAGCAGCCAGTAAGACTCTCCACCTTTCATCTCATAATCCTTATGAAGCACGTGACTGACTGCTGCTTAAAGCACTAGTTGACACTGCGGACAGGGGACTAGTCATGGGCAATATGGTTTAAAACAGCATCTCAGACATTTCCAAAACATTTATGGTAATAATGTTATGTCAGATCGGTGTATATACGGAATTCAGTTATTTTCATATTGTAATACTTGGATAAGGTTGTTACTACACATAATTCAGCTTTTGACACCTATGTACGTATCACGTAACAGGACTTGAAAGTTTGTTTATAATGACCCACTACTTGCAGGGAAGCTGTGTGTTCCTGTGGAAATGGTGCAGCATGGAGTGGAAGGCCTGATGTTCCTGATGACAGAGAGCTCCAAACACATGGTGACTCACTGACATTCTGACACACTTGTATTGTCTAATGTATTTTTGTAGCAAAGTAGTACCCCCTGACCAGTGCAAAACGTTTTCTGTGGAAAAACATGCCTATATAAAGAGGTACAATACAGCCCTGCACCATCATTCGTCTAGTTTTTTACCAATTTTTATCATCAACCCTAAGGTTTGTAGTTGCATTGAACTGCATCTTTTTTGATTAGTAGCACTTACAATTTTTAATCAGCCGGTATTATCACATTGAAGGAGTAAACCTTTCCTAGTGTCACTGCTCTGTGTGTGCGTGTGTGTGTGTGTGCGTGTGTGTGTGCGTGCGTGTGTTCATGTTCATGCAGATCTCGGAAGTGGATTTCCTCGACTCAGTGTTGGTTTTGGGTTTTGGTCTAGAGCTTAACCAGATCCTCTTACAGGTGACTGTTAATCCGTTTTATTTATCTGAGATGATCTGAGCAGTGTACTTGTTGACTCAGTCAGTATGTTCACTGCACTCCAGCTAAGTGTGTGAGGGTTTTTGTTGCAGATCTACCTACAGCACCACAGTCAGATCCGCAGCATTCTGAGTCAGCTGCCCCCCAGCCTGCCTGCCTATCACAACCTGGAGTGGAGACTGGATGTACAGGTGTGTGTGTTCATGTGTGTGTGGAACTGCTGTGGAATCAGATGGATAATATAGTAGCTAAATGTGTTTGTTTGTTACATTCTGCTAAGTACAGTCTTTCATGTGTACTTTGTAGTTTTTAAGTTAAATATTTACCAAGAGCAGAAACATCAGTTCACTGGTTGCCACAAAAGTGCCCTCTTGGATTCCCCTATGGGCGATGAAACATGGTAAATAGGTATGGAATGTGGAAAGGAGGAACATAGGGCACACTACAAACTGACTTGTGTATAACCCATGCTCATACATTTTATGTTTTTAGCACTCTGAGCTGTAAATGTTCCATTTATGGTAAATGGACCTGTACTTGTATAGCGCCTTTCTAGTCTCACGACCACTCAAAGCGCTTTTACATTACATGGCACATTCACCCTTTCACATACATTCACTCAGTGATGGCAAAGCCCATCGAACAGAAACTAATGCATTCATACACATTCACACAACGATGCATAGGCACGGGAGCGGATTTGGGGTTCGTATCTTGCTCAAGGATACTTCGAATGTGCACCAGGACCGGGGAATCGAAACCCACCCCGCCTGCCTCTGCGCCACAGCCGCCTGGTGGTTTTAGTGGATACAGCCACCTCTTCACTATGATGAGAAGATTTCAAGAAACCTTAGAGAGGCTGAATAACAAGTTTGGAGTGCCCTCAACCGTTCCCACATCCGGAAAAGAAGAGCTGCTACAGCACTGTCAAACCCTGGAGTTACTGCTCTGCCCATTGACAGCCAGCCAGACATTGATGGCACAGAAATTGTAATCAAATGACTATGACCAAACATGAACTGTTAACCTTCCTGCATGAGAAGAGCTGACACGAAATCTTACCCCAACATGTTAGGTTTGCTTGAGAATCTCTGCACTCTTCCTGTTATGTGCTACTGTGAGAAGAGTTTCAAGCTCCAAACTCGTTAAAACTTACCTTGGAGATCTTACTTATGATGCAGAAGGTTCTACAGTGTGACACTTGTCCATACATCTATGCAGAGCACCCATCAAACTGTCTAGGTGGTTAATGTCTTATATATCACGTGTGCGCATTTTATTCTATAGTATGAAGTGTTGTGAGTTAACTGGTCTCTCTCTGCTTGTCTAACGTATCTATATATATTTAGGAAGTATATGTGTTAGCAGTCGAAATGTTGTCTGGGAGGATTTGGAACTGGGTCAGAGCGTATCAGGTGTTGGGTGACGTGGGTTTGTTGGTTTGTTCTTTAGTTTAAGTGTCAATGTGAGAAAGTGTTGCAGGCCTTAGTACGGTCTCAATGTTATAATCTTCTTCTTTCTGTAACAGTGTTGTTTTTATTTGAAATGCAATTTCAATTAGTGGAATACTGCAAAGTGTGCGCCAGATAATCTGTGACAGTTATATTCAACTCAGGAGCTTATGTAAGTGTCTCGTAGATTTGGCATCGGAGGGTGTTCTATCTCCTCGGTTTAATCCTATGGTTGCTCATTTGTCGTGTGCAGTATCCTTGAGCAGAAGTGCTGTTCAATGCTCCTGTATTGTATGTATGTCTTGGTTATGTGATTATTGTGTATGATGCTTCACATGTTTCGTGTCTCGAATGGTCTTTTGCTTACTGTGTTAGGTGATGTTAATTGTGTTAGTTGACATATGTGTGTAGGGTGAATTGTGGCATCTAGTGGTAATAGCGTATTTACTTTGCATTGTGTTGGTTAAGATTGCTATGATATAATCGGTGTCTAATACATTGTACGGTTCATAT